GAAACAGATGCCCGAGCCACCTCAGCTGGCTCCTCTCGATGTGGAGGAGCAGCGGTTCTACTCTGAGCTCCTCCCGGGTGACCGAGCTCCTCACCCTATCTCTAAGGGTGCGCCCGGCCGCCCTGCGGAGAAAGCTCATTTCGGCCGCCTGTATCCGGGATCTTGCCCTTTCGGTCATGACCCAAAGTTCATGACCATAGGTGAGAGTCGGAATGTGTCCTCAGTCCCATCCTCTACACTCCTGTTCACCTGTTGCCTCCCACAAGGACAACATCATCCTAAAGTTCTTGGACAACACCACAGTGATTGGTTGCATCACTGGCGGGGACGAAGCAGCCTAGACGAGGGAGGTGGCCGGTCAGGTGTCATGGTGCAAGGACAATAATCTCAGCCTCAACACGAACAAGATGAAGGAGATGATAGTGGACATGAGGAAGGAGAGGAGATCTCATCAACCACTGTTCATCCAGGGGCTTGAAGTGAGAGCGTGAGCAGCTTCAAATACCTGGGTGTCCACATCAGTGAGGACCTCACTTGGACACTTAACACCACACAGCTGGTCAAGAAGGCCCAACAGTAGCTGTACTTCCTGAGGAGGCTGAGGAGGTTTGGCATGTCGCCTAGGATCCTTTGTAACTTCTACAGCTGCATCATTGAGAGCATCTTGACCAGCTGCATCACTGTCTGGTATGGCAGCACTACTGCTATGGACCACAAGCGCCTGCAGAGAGTGGTAAAGACTGCGGAGAAGATCACCTGGACTCCACTACTATCTCTGCAGACAACCTACCACTGCAGGGTGGGTAGGAAAGCTGCCTCCATCCTCAAGGACCCCACCCACCCCCAGCACGGACTGGTCATACCCCTACCCTCAGGTTGGAGGCTCAGAAGTGTGAAATGCAGGACCTCTAGACTGAAAAACTCTTTCTTTCCGACTGCCATCAGACTCCTAAACAGCTGACTCAGGATCTGCCTCATGTAATTCCATCTGTACAGTTTACATACTCATTTTGCATATGCATAATTGTACACTCACTGCTGAGTATTTGCACTTCACGGCTCCCACGTAGCATACTGTATATTCTCTCTACATTATATTGCATTCTTATTGTATTTTTAGTTGCTTCCTTCACTTGCTGCTTTAAAGTGCCTTAGATTTGTGTTATTGCTCATCTACTTTATATTTCACTTGCATTGTGTGGCATTAATGTGGACGGCAAAGTAAGAATTTCATTGTACAGGGAAACACATTTCCTAACTGTGCCTATGACAAACACTTTGACCTTGACCTATGTTATCTTGTTATGGTACATTATCTTCTGTAATGTGTTATTGTAACGTCAGCTGGTCTGGAAGAAAGCTTGTATTCTTTCTCTTTTTTTCTTTGTGTTTTTTTCACAAACAGCACATCACACCACCGTACACATGACACTGCACACTGAACTTTCATACAAAAACATGTTTCTGTGATATGTCTGAGGTTTCCAGAGCTTCTGCAGATCAGGTCATCTGCCATATGTGAGCTTCAGGACAGAGAAAAGAAACACTATTCACTGCCGTGGCTTTTGGTCACATTCTCTGATCTCACATTTACTAGCAGCTTTAACCAAAGTTTAAATATATTAACTCAAATGAGCCACTACTGTTTACATGGGGAGCAGCTGTTCATTCCAGGAACTGGAACACTGACTTCTCTGTTTATTCAGCAAAATGGCATCCTCTGTGGATAAGCATAAACTGAATTACCAAGTATTATCAAAAATACAAGGAATTTGACTCCAGCCAAATGGCCCCCAATGTGCACAACAATATAAAAACAGAATAAAACCAAAACCTCAAGTAAAAAACAAAGACAAAAATGTACACACATGCATATATACCCCTCCTTGAACCGCCACCTTATTCTGGTGGAGGGGTTTGAGTACCTGAGTGATCCTAGGAGCTATGTTGCCGGGGGCTATATGCCCCTGGTAGGGTCTCCCAAGGCAAACAGGTCCTGGGTGACGGGTCAGACTAAGCGGTTCAAAAAGCCCTTTATGAATAGATTTAAATCAAGGACCGTGACGTCGCCCGGCATGGCGCAGCCGCGGCCTCACCCTGGAGCCAGGCCCGGGGTCAGGCCTCGAATGCAAGTGCCTGGTGACCAGGCCTCCCCTCACTGGGCCCGGCCGGGCTCAGCCCAAACGAGTAATGTGGGGATGTCCTCTTGTGGGCCCACCACCTGCAGGAGAATCCGTAAGGGGCTGGTGCACAGTGGATCGGGCAGCAGTCGAAAGCAGGGGCCT